GGGCTAATTAAAACGTGAGATTAAATTGAGTTCACGCTTCATCTCTTTGCATCTATTTACCACATCATAAGACATTTTAAAGGAGATTACTCCAGTGGCATATGACTCCTCCTACAGTACGTAAAGAATTCATTGCTTCGGTGAAACCTGAAAAAGCCTGTTTCTCTCTCTGGGTGGTCTTTTTAATGCTTCTCCCACCTATGACTTTACCCTGACCTAGCCAGCCAGCCTTTATGCAAGCAAAAATCACTTACCAGTCACTGACAGAGGCACGCCTTTAGACTTTAACACATTCCTGTGTAATGTTCATTTACCCTGAGACAGGAGGGAGCAGGCAGGCTTCCAGCTCTGCTTGAACCGGGGGCTGTAAGTGCATGTTCCGAAGATATAAAAACACCTACTGTGATTAGGTGTTGGAGGGAAGAAATCTGCCTTACCACATCCAGACTGGGAGTTGTGCAACTCTCCCGATCCCTGACTCATCCTGAACCAAAGCCTTGGCCTCGCTGCCCCTATATGCATTCCTGCAAATGTTCTTCTGCTTCTCTGAAATCTGTGACACTTGGAGCACACTCCAATGATCTTGAATGGTTGCCAAAAGACTGTTATAGTTACTTAATTCATCAGAAGAGTTCAAGCGGGGCTTTTCCACAAACTTGAAGCTTCTTCCCACTTAATTTTTCACAGGCTAAATAAATAGTTGACAAGGGGTATCTATGATAAAACACAGTGAACTTGAAATATGAAATAGCTTTTTATGTTTCTGCAAGTTATTCCAGTTTTTCAAAGCTTCTACAGCCTAACACTATGCTACTTGCATCTACTAATAACACCTGCCATCTCAGCAAATGTAGCAGCAGCATATAAATCTGTACCTACCTTGAGCATATACATTATTATGTATGTGCTTCTGATTAACATTTCAGAAGCTTTTCACAGCAATATTATTGTAGAAAATTCAGTTCAGAAAGAGACATGTAAGAGACCTTATGAAAGATGCCACAAAACCCACAGTACTTTTAATAATGGAATTGTTCCCACGGTTCTTTTTAAATAGATGCAGTATTGATACTGAAAAAGAATTGGCATATGACAAAGCTAAATGACAGCTGTCATCCTGATCCTGCCACGTGTCGTTTTCAGGCAGACATCCATGCACGGATACAAACCTTTGGAATTCTTGAGATCCTTGTAAGTGGTGATGGGTGCTTCTGCCTTGTGCATTGTGGGCTTTAGCACAGGTTATTATGGACAACTTCTACCTTCCTTGGGTACATAAGATTTTTTTTTTGTTTTTGTTCTTAATGTTTTTCTTTTTAAACAGCAACAGCCAGTATAAAACCAAAAGGCATCCAAACATTTATCTCTGCAGATAACAACATTTCAAAGTAGGGTTATCAGAAGAAGCCATGTAGAAGCCGGTCCAGCATTTAAAATTACCTGAGCAAGACAATGGTCATTAATGAAAAGCCTCATCCAAGAATCACAAGCAAAGGAGGATTCAATAAACAGCACCATTTCCCCAAAAATAAATAGTCCCAAAATGGACTGGATGGAGCAGCCACCCATCTGAGGCACGGGGATGTCTCCTAAAGCTGGACAGACACAAGGCAGACTGGAAACACAAGCTGGGAAACTCTGTGAATAAAGTTTTTCCTTAACTGGTCTGTGACATGTGCTACACATAAATTCCCTCACATTAGAAAACAGCAAGAAATCTAGTTTTTTGTCTTCTGTTTGAAGCTGCAATTAATTAGATTTCTGTCAGTAAAAGTTCACATGAAGATTTGCTTTAATGTTTTAAGATTTAACTTTTTGTCTGCCTCTTTGCACTCTTTTGGATTGAGAAAAGATAGTACTGAACTAAAGAAAGTCAAGAATGTAGGAAAGTAAATGAAGATTCATGACTGCAGCTGAACCAGCAGACACTCTTAAATTGTTCAAAAAGAGAGGAAAATGTCCCTGGCAAGTGTTCAGGTTGGGATGGGATTTTCAAATTTTCAGAACTTTATTCAGCAGAACTAACAGTGCCTCTGAAACATGCATGTGCTCAAATTCACCGGTGACCTAAGCCTTAGCTCACTTCCACTGGAGATTTTTTCTGGAAAGAAGATGTAAGTGATATAGGCCTTTTTTTTTTTTTTTTTCCCCTCGCCAGTTGGAAACAAACTAAACAGCATAAGTAAATGCCACAATGCTTTTCTGAATATTCAGAGAGCTTTAAGTGCTGACAGGTTTATAAGCAGGTGCGGGATGCGAAGGAGGAAAATCCAAACGGTCTGTCATTGCTGTTATTCACATCAGGGACATTAAACAAAAAGCAAGTTTATTTTTCCTACTACTGTTTGGGAAGCTGCAAGGCACCAATAACTGGAGGCGAAGCAGACTCCCTTTTTGCAGGCCTCTGCTCTGTTTTATCTACTTCTCTAGTAGCCAGTGCTAGGCTCTGAACTGCTTACAGCAATCCCTTCAGATCCTGAAAGCACTCAAACAAAAATGTGCGGTGACCTTGAAGCTTACTGAAAGAGTGGTGAAGATAACATGCCTTTACCTCCCACCTGTCTGCTCGATAAACACAGGTGGAAGCAGAATAAAGCATTCTCTATCCCTTCCTACAAACAAAAGGCTAGGTTCAAGGTATAAAACAGCAAAGGTGAAGTGACTTTGTTCACTGGACTAATATCCAGGATGGCTGCCCGGGAAAAACTTTGTGATGTCCAGTAAAGGTTCTGCTACAATACGTTGAAGAAAGCCTCATCCCTTTCCTTGTGAAGGAGCAATGATTTTCACCAAAGTGGGCTTCTTTTATCTTCAAGCTAAGTTGTCTCCTACCTTCAGCCCCACTCCCCGCTGTGCTGCCTTCCCACCAAGAGGTGCTGTGTAAAGTCTTGAGCTGTCAGTCAAGAAACACCACACTGATACTTTGCCACTTGTGTTTTTTTTAAGTTTCTGGGGTATTGCATGGCTTTTATGTTGAGCTGGTAGAAGGGCTAGGTCAAACAGGAAGAAGCATATCCCACAGGCAATTTCAGTTCAGCTATCCACTATGGATGGGCCATAAAAGAATAGTTCTAAAAAAAACCATCCCTCAATCAACCAGAAAGGAAAAAGAACGCACAGGCAAAACTAGAACACCTTCACAATACCATACTATTTATAACGCCTATTTAAATCACATTCTTGAAACTTCTGCAAAATTGGTACTTGACACTCCGCTCCCTAATGAAATACAGTCTAAAAATTACATCATAGAATTAAAGAACAAAGTAAAATATCCAACATCCTGCTTCACCATTAGATGGAACACCACCAATATATTTTGAAACTAAAACTCTTACAATGTTTAATTTATCAGAAAACACTATGAAATCCTAAACCAGAAGTAAACAATGTTGATGCACCTCAGTGGCACCCCATTTAAAAGACTAATCACAGCCTCTTCACTACTAGACAGCTATCAGTTAAACCAAGTTTTCTCTCAATAAAAGGAAAAATACATTTTCCTGGTTTGCAAGTAACAGCCAAAAAGGAAGCTGCAAATATTTTAATAAATTGTACACAGTTCTATGTATTTTCACAAATTTGTATTTAAGAAAAGTGTAGATGGATTTAATCTTATGGAAAGACTACAGAAGATACATGTTACCCATGTGACAAGGAGGTACCGTATTTATAGGAAATGGAATCATAGGAAGAGTAAGAGGTAACCGTGTTCATGTTTTTCTCATGTATCTAATGCTGTGTACCGCCTCTGAAAAAATCAGCTTAATCAAGAACTTCCCTTTGACCCTCAGGCAGGCTACTTGTTTGATCCTGTATTTTGGCTGGGAGAAAAGATCATTTACCAAAGATGTGAAGTTCTATTCTAATGAGTTTTATAATTTAAAAATAATGTATTAGTGATGGAACTGTCATAGAATCAGAACAGAGAACATGGAAGACCAAAATTCTGTTTAACTCTTCAGGTTTTCACGCAGTGAAAACATGCCTATAACCAGTTACAGGCAAGTGAATTTTCAATTGCTCGGAATAATGTATTTTCTAAAAAAACAAAACCACCAACCCCTCCCAAAATTTAGCATTTCTTACTGCATTCTCTACCCATGCCTGAAGCCATACATTCAAAGCACATCCACTAATATTATGGCATAAACAAAACACTGGGAAGCTAGGCAAGCTCTTGCAAAGCTGTAGAAAATTCACACTTCCACAGAAATTCTTTCATCTAAATACCAGGAATCCAACTTAGTAGCACAGATGGCACACATCCTGATTATAATTTTTAAATGAAATTTAAAGCCTGGGCAATAACCATCTGCAGTCAGCTTTAACCTCTGTATCCTGGCTAAATGCTAACTGGCATAACTCATTCACACCGTTCCAAAAGTTCCTCAGAAGTTTCATCCAAATTCAATTTTCTTCACATTCTATGCTATAAATTTCCCTAGAGTCTTACTGTGTAAGTTAAAGAGCTGCTACTTTTTATGCCAGAAGGGATTGCACTCCCATGATATGGAGTGTAATTCATTTGCATGGTTTCTAAATACTTCTGTATCCTGTGGAATGGGGACTATTTTATCAGTACAAAATTAAATTGGTTAAATAAAAATCATTCCAGGTACAAAATTAATGAGCTTAGCTGAGCTTTCATTCTTAGATTAGTATCTAATTATACAGAGATGCCACACAACTGTGGCACAACAGGCTGCTGCTACTCTTAAAGACCCAAGTTACCACCTCTAGTGCATTGTCTGGAAACATTAGAAACCAAGGTAATCTTGGCAAAAGCATGCAATAGTTTTCTGGCTTTTCAAAAACATACTGTATGTAACTATTTGGTAGGAAAGAGACAATAGAGAAAAAAACTCTGAAATGTGACTTCCAATGCCTAAAAGGAATAAAATTCCATTGTTTATATTTGAAAAAGAAAGACAAATATTTGATGTATTACAACTAATATAAATCAGCAACAAATATTTTTAAGTCAAAAAATGTCTTACCTTGAGAAGTTGAGGAAATGAACATGTCTAGTGAATAAATAGGGCTGCTCAGCAGTGCTTATGTTTTTAATCAATTCCATCTGAAAAGAATTAACAAATCAAATTTTCCATGTTATGTCAAGGCACATTATGGAGACAAATATAACTTAAACAACATATAGTAACATAATTTTCAAGTCTGCATTACTCAGGAACTCCTTTCCCACCATCCCTCCCAAACATCCTTACCAAGATAGCACTATCACTATTGCATGCCTAAACAAGGAAGACACCATCATGCTATCACGGAGCTTATGTACTTCCAAAAGTGGATATTGATTTAGAGGAAGGCATAAACTAAAGGAAAAAATGAAATCCTTCCTAAATCTGTACCAGAAGGTTGCAAGTGGCAGCTGCCTTCTGAAGACACCGGATCCATTAGCTAGAATGCCAAAATGTAAAATAACTGAAAATGTAACAGAAAACAGGACCTGAGCCAATGTCCATAAGAGCATGGCAGAAAATCATATCCAGACTATAAAAATATTAAACTGCCTCCAAGGGAGATGAATCATTATTTTTTTCTGTATTTCTTAGTTTTGATATTTGGACTTTTTGCCATGTTTTTTACATTGCATATCACATTTTGTTGCTTCTCATCCATTTTTCATTCTCCATTTTTTTTTCATAGGACACACAACCCGCCTTTGTCTTTCAGACAAGACAAGGTGTAGCCATATAATTTTTAGGACCAAATGAAAAGTGCACACACAATTACGTTCTTCCCTACTTTCCTCTGCCTTCAACATTTGTATATGCATACAACAAGCACTGAAGCAAACTGTTCATCCATCAGGCAGGAAGGGAAGAGGCCACTTAGCTTTAGTTGGTCATCTTTAGACTCTGGATCCAAGTACAAACATATCTTCACACAGCTCCTCCAGCACAATAAAGCTGCTATCAGCAAGAAAATCAGAAACCTAAAGAGCAGAACTTGCCCAGCCCAAAATTAGAAAGCCCAGGACACTTCATAATAACCCAAATAGCTGACATCCAGTTAGGACTTGTAACTCTCTGTGCCAAAAAGTTATATTCATCCACCTTGTTTCCAGAAAGAAACAGAGGAGAGACTCTAGGGGCTGGATATCAGAGGTCTCACTTTGTTTCTTTTTTTGTTTGTCTGTTTTATCCAGCCAAGTTAGAGGAGAATTGAAGTTCTCAAAACTGTATGAAGCTTTCTGCTGTATTGGTATTTTACCTGTATTACTCTATCTGCACAAATGAGTGTCAGAAGGAAAATGTTCATATGGGATAAAAACTCTGTTCATGTCACTACAGTCATCACTGTAATTCCTTCTTGGAATAAATGAGGTACCATCATTATAGCATAAATACGGAGATGTAAAGCTGTTATAAACATACAATTAATTATGTTGTGTATTACTTTAAAGCTGCCTGTGTTTTTAATGACAGATAAATGCGCGCAATGGGGTACATGTGAGCATTACTAAGAACCTCTCCAGCCTCCCTTGTCCATCACCTCACCCTGTGGCAGGTGCCAACTGGCCATAGCACCTCATTGAGTCACAGTGCAGTACCACAGCACTTCCCATTTCTCTTCATCTGATGTATTGGGCTTGTGTCAGCCTGCTGCTGGACCAGCAGAGGCACTTCGGCATCATGAGCACAGGCAGTCTGCAAAGATACATGCAGATGGCTGCAGAGCATCTGGCTGCCTGGCTTTTTTTAAGCTCTTGCTACCAAACTCAATCTCTTGTGCTATGATAACTTACTCTAAGGCAGACACAGAATTTTGTTTTGACTTAAAGTACCTTCATACTTAGACACTTAATGTTCAGCTGGGCTTGTAAGCAGATGTGGATAAAGCTACAACGTGCATATGAACAAACAAGCAAAAAACATTCTTTAAAAAACCCTGCCAAAAGGGTAAGTAAGGCTCAACAGAAACAACACACAGATGTCAGTAGGGAAAAATAAATAACTGTAATGGCTCACGGCCACATGCAAATTGTGGCCATATTTCCCATGGGCCTCTCTCTCTCTGATCCCACTGTGCTGAACTGATTTCAGCTTAACAAGCCAAATGTACTGCTCAGGAATACCAAGCAATCAGCTCTCCTTTTAAGATGATGCAAAAACAAATAAAAAATCTTCCAATGTCTCCCAGAAGAGTGGGGTCTCTAGGATTTCTTTTCTACAAGAAAACTGGTATAGAGGAAGAATGAGGAGTGGATGATAGCTCAGGAATGTGAGCACCTTTGGATGGAATGGGCCATGCAGGAAGGAGATAGACACAAGTATAGGTCATCTAAACCACCCTAAAATTGAAAAGAGATGAAGACATACAAGCACCAGCAGATACTCCTTGGTATAGTAGCAGATACTACAATTGTGCTAGCAAACACAGTCAGGGGGTGAGAGGAACCAGAACACATCCATGTTTGGGGAAGGAAGCTGCAAATATATCTGGGGGAAGCCTGAAAGGCACACATGCCTGCTAGGACATGGGACTGTAAGAGCCGTCCACCTGTCACCCTGAGCTCCCCTGCAAGAGTTAATTTCTAGCTTTTTCAGTGAAGCAGTGCTTAAAAAGATATCAAATGCATTGGAAATGAACTAAATTGCACCAGGAAGTTGATGCTGCTGAATGAGGATCTAGGGAGATGGAAATGGCAGGACATGAAGAGTGTGTGGACATACTGAGGCAGTGGCACCCTATGCCCACGTGCTCACATCTGCCAGCAGAGCCCATGGTGCTGCCTGAGCACTTCAGCTCAGTCGCTGGGCAAAAGTGAGCCCAAATCACTGCCTGCACTGTGCTGCCAAGGACAGCGAGACTGCATGCCCCACAGCAGGCATTTGGGAGAGATACTAAACCAAAGCAAGCAACTGCAAGGAGCACTGTGGCATGATCAACTGTGCTGAGACATTTGCTGTCATTGACAGAAATATTTGAAATTTAAAGATAAATTACATGAGCAGAAGAAGAACACAATCCCCCTCAGCAGCAATTCATTGCAAGGACTAGTCTTTCTGACTCCTGTGACTCCCTGCTTAAGCTTTCATTCTATTTTTTCTCCAAAATCAATTTTCTGTCTTTTAAACAGGATCTTTAAACAAGACCAGATCTGCAATTAGAGGCAACTCCATAAATCACAAGCTATTTTTGAATCCTAAAGCCCACCTGAGCAAGAAAACCAAGAGGCAATACTCCAAGGGAAAAAAGTTTCCCTCAGACTACTGTCCTACACTATCGTAGCATCTCAGCTGGCCATGCTGAAAGAATCAAGTCACCATGGCTCGGCATCAGCAGTGTATTTTTCAGTCGCTGCTGCATTGTAAATAACAATCCAGCAGATGGCACAGTGAAATGACTTGGAGAGAGACGGCTTGGGGCCCTCCCTGAAAGGAAAGAAACGTGGACCATGGCTTGGCTCCAGCCACAGCATTGTTTCTGCATCAAAACTCAGCTCAGCCTTGTGAGATAGGACACCTTCTTTCCCCCTTCCATAAACATCTATCTCTACACGCTGGCCTGCTGAGAGCAGTCCCATTGCGTTTGGGATTTGTAATGGTTAATTGCACTGGGAACAGAAAGAAATAATCAGATAATAATCTTATCTAGAGAACAGCCAACATGTTCCTACTTTTTGAAGCTGATTCATTTCATTGGGAGAGAATCTGAGGTCAAAATGTATAAAAACAGTGAGGTGACTGATTTTCCGTGGATGACACTATGGTTTCCACTAACACTGATGCAAATAGGACAGAAAATTCTCAGTATTTGTCTCTCTTTTGAGTTGTTTGCCTTCTTTTATACTGGTTACAGTCTCTAAAGAAGGCGTGTAGGGTCCAGGAGGCACAAGTATCTACAGGCATTTGGCGTATCACTTTCATCTCAGTATTACTTCATTTCCATAAACAATTCACAGCTCACAGGAATGAGACCAGATCTTCATTTTCAACTCTCAGAGATTTGGAATTGTTTCAAAAATTTCTTAAATTCCCTGAGCTGCTACGATCAATTTTCTGCCTTCAAAAGAATTTAAGAAAAATTAGCAATGGATGTTTAGTGTGTATAACTTGAATTATATATAAAGCCAGCTGTCCGTCCAAAAGGATGGGGGGTAGAGTGAAATGATGTGAGGTCAAACTATCAGGTACTCCTATATGTGGTCAGTATTTGCATATCTATAGACACTCATTCTTACTTCTGAGTGCAAAAAAGAAGTTGAAATCTGCAATTACATTGACTTTGTATACATAAATACTACTCATAAGTTCTGTAGTTGGAAGCTTCTAATTATGAATTGAAAATATAGTAAATGGCAATGACCTAATTAACTCATCTGCTTCCAGAAGCCACTCCTTTATGCCCATGGAGGTTCAATGGCTACACTTCTAATTGCTGGCAGGCAGACATAATTTGGGAAAATTTCTTCGTAGGATGAAGACTGGAAGAGGCAATGAGCATACAGATTCCAGTTAAATGCAATCTCCATAGTCATTAAAAACACCTACATGCTTAACTTTATTTAACAATAGCAGACTGTGCAAGCTAAATATTTACAGAGAAGTCTTGGCTGGATCAGAGCTTTAACCAAACATGGGACAGACAAATGACAGAAGGGAGAGAGCAATAACATCTCGAGCGAGTTTCTTATGCGGGGAGCCTACAGCCCAGCCCAGACCTCTTTTCTCTCTCTCCAATGCCTGAAGCCTCAGACAATTCATTCTCTTAATTTCCTCTTGTGTGTACCACATTTAAGGTGGGAGAAATAATTCATTTTTCATATTTTACTCATAAAAAATGGGAAGACAACTGAAAATACCCTAAACTACAGAACAGTTAGTGTCTCCAGGCATGTAACCTAGCGATCAAGTGTGCTTTTCAGCAAAAGTACTCATTAAATTATGAACCTATTGTAACTGCGTAAATAAGCCATAAATTAAAATGGAAAGACTCACATTATAGCAGGCCATGCTAGAGAGTAAATCATCAGCTCTGTAACAGTATGTCTACCACTGTTTGTGTTCCTGCACATTCACTGTACAGTAACCCAAAGCTTATGGACTGAAAAAAGTAATGCACCTATTTATCATCTGTCAGTGTATTGCTTGCATCACAAGTCAGTCTGGGCTTTTTTGGAATCTTGACATGTTGGACCAAAGCACAGAAGACTGTTTACATGGGATCTGTTATCATGTTTAACATGTTCTCTGCCTACCAGAGAAATGCAGCAGATTATGAGGATGAAGGATTGTGGCTGTTAATACTTCTGAGGTTTTTAGATTTTATTTCCCAGTTAGCAATGAAACATAATGAAGGACATACTCAAAACAAAACCCAAACAACCCCGAACACAAAAGCAATCGTACCAATAGAAATCCCCTACTGCATAACCAACAATTAAGCAGAAAAAGTAAGAAGCAGAAAAAATAACACAAGAAAGTTTGCCCCTGACCCGGCCATTCTGCAAACTCCCCAGGCTCCGTTTTGCTGTGCACAGAAGGACGCTGCGGCAGCTACAGCCCTGGGCTCTGCCCCTTCCCTTGGTCACTCAGTGAGGCTGAGCAGGGGCAGCAGAGGGGGCACTGGCTTCTTCCACAGCCTTTTGGCTGGTGGGCAGCCCCTTATAGCCAGTCCTTGTCTGTGGCCACAAACAAATGCCCTAGAGGGTTAGGTGAATTGCTGTCTGTGGGACCCGAACGGCTACACTGCAAGGAAGGAACACAGGAACTGCAGTAGCGACATCCGCTCCCAAACTTTCATCTGGAATGAACTGCTATATCTAAAATAACAAACGTTGAAACTTATGCTGCTCATAAACAGGCTACAGATAAATAACCCCTAACTACAGGCCGATGCCACTGGTAGGCCCATCCCTCTGTTTTGATCACTGCCCACATCCTTTTGCGGTTTGTAGATCACTCATCTCAGGAGTGATGCAGACAGCTACAGCAGCACTTACCTGAATCAGCAGATCAAAAGAACAGCTGTGGGCAACGTGTGAAACAGCTGTGTGTAAGGCATCTGAACTAATCAGCACACTTTGGAGACTGAGTTTTTTTGTGTTACTTGCATCAATACCTATGGATGACATTGGTAGTTCTGGTGGGCACACAGTTACGCTAGATACAGGTGAATTTAAATAACTAGATCTCTTGTGGAATGAAAGCTGCGAAAATAATGCCCTCTACAGCTTTAATGAAGAGGGTTGTCTGGGTAAAGAGGTTTCACTTGGCATTGATTTAGGGAGGGTTGTTTTATAATGTGAAAAAGGTAGACAAGTGAGAGGCTGAGATAGGTTCAGGGATGTGTCAGACTACAGCAACATGATTTAGCATGGCCTGGGGAAAAAAAATAAATTGATGCAAGTCATTACTAAAAGTGAATGGGAAAAGCCAGCAGAGAAACTGTTGGCTATTATTTATTCATACTCTGCTTAAAGAGACCCAAGCTAGGTCTGAATAAGCCAGCATGCCTACGTGACAAACGGCTGTGCCCTGCAGATACCTTAACACAGGTCCCAGAAGCTGTTAGCACCTAATTTCACTTGTAGTAACTCTTCTTGCATCTCTGCTGGATTAACTGCTATGTCGAGTACATTCAAGAGCTGTCTCACTGGAAGCTTTTTTTTTAACATAACCCCCCATATCATGTTGCTCTAGGCTCTACCATCCATTTCTCCTGTTAACTAAAGCTACTTAGAAGATGATGAATACTGGCAGATCACTCAGGTAATACATCTTTTCAATATGATTTGTGCTAGTTCCCTTTGTTTATCAGCTTCACAAACTAAGAGAACAGGATCTAAGTCGAGCAGGAGTAACTTACCTGTTCATTTTTGGTCAGTCTTGTTTTGTTATGAATGTCAGACGTTACCAGGTTGAATCCATGTTTCTCTGATAAAATTCTTAAAAGCAAAACCACAGTTCGACTTCCACACTTTCCAACTCTGTTGTAGACCACCTGGCTGGGGAAAGGAAGTACCTAAATAAAGGTTGAAAAAAAAATGAGTCAGTATATTGCTATTTTTGGCTTTGTATCCCAGTCACAGAGTATTTTGCCTGTCAGCCAACAGGTATGTAGAAGAGAATTTCTAGGACCCTGCCCAGGTCAGAAACATTCATTTCCACCAGCAAGCTATAAGCTCTTTATAATAAAAACACGTCGCTCAGGAGATGGCAAACATAGACTTCCCCCTCATGACCTACTTTAAAGTAACAGCACAGATCAGTAGCTACACAAGGAACTCTAAGCCATGGCTGATGACTTCCAGTGAAGATGATGATGAACTTGTTGACTTGATGGGCTTGTTGACTGCCTCCATACAAAGAATGAAGAGCAGTGAACTTGTGCTACAGTTTGGCAGCTCAAAGTGAAGTTGATCTAATGAAAGAGGAATGCTCGAGTTGCAAAACTTCAGCTTTAAAGAAGCAACAACCAATTGGAGAGAGCTAAAATTAATCAACCGTTTCAATGTAAAATATAAACATGAATCTTCCAAAGTCTTAGAGAAGGAATTGTGCCACTGGTGAGGTACGTACTTGTGTAATAAACCAAGCCAGAAGACACTGCCAGGCCTGGAGGACAAATGGCACAGTCTGGTCACAGCCACACAGGTGACATTTACTAAGCATCAAACCAGACCAGCCACATCCCACCCACCTACCAGCAATGATCTCCAGCTCAAGTCTCTTGCACCACACTCCTGTCCCCACTCGGGAGACTGATAGTTGGCTTGGGCTATGCCAACTATCCAACTATGCCAAGGACTATTCAGATAATTTAACAGCATGGGCAGCTGCGACCCCAGACTTGGCACTCTTCATGCAACTGCTGCAGACACCAGTGCTCTTTACTGAATACCATCTCTCTGAAGCTGAAGGTAAGTTTCTTTTTTGGCTCCAAGAACAGCAAACAGAAGGTCGAAAAGTTTGAAATTTCTTCTTTCAGTTATTTCTCAGAAATTCCTATTACAGTTTGACAACATTTATTATTATAATTATTATTGTTTTTGAGGCAAAGAAGGAGGGACCAGGGGTGCAGGTGGGGTACCTGTGTGGTTCTAACAGTATTTTTCCAAGGCACAACCAAAAGAGCAGCTCATAACAGTTAACTAAATGCTTTTAGACAGCTCAGGTATTCTAGAAGAGAAGTGCTTCACAAATAAGCAAAGCAACACGTCATTGATGGTGCTTTGTATGCTAGACTAACATGAGCAAATTTAGCATGTTAATTAAGAAGTTTTATTACTAGACATTGAAACCCAGCTTAGAGCAATCACAGGAATAATAAGGCCAGTAATACAGGAAGTGGTTTGGCTCAAACCCCATATCACTTGGGGAAAGGTAACAGATCTACAGTCAAAACTTTCAAGGATGAAAGAATAGGACAACTGAGAGGTGAATATGATATCATGATTTGTGGGCATAAAAACCAACAGAATATGAAAACCACAAAGGCTGTCATTACAGTAAGTCCAGTGAGGAATTACGGCCACAAGTCTGCACCTAACATAAAATGACACCAAAGTCCAGAACTACCAAGTGTCTTCTACAACTATCTACAGGCTTGCCATGAGACCTGCCATGGATGGGTGAGCACCCACCTCTGCTCCATGCAGTGAAGCCTTATTTTGGCTATTTCCATTCAGACTGCTGACAAGGAAAAGGCTTTTGATTATTTCTCCAAATGAATATTTAGAAATAGCTTTCTTTAACTGCCAGCTTACAAACTGAACTTCATTAAGCCTGCTTTCATACATTTGCACCAGCTGTTTTCCACTTCTGGAAAATGTCTGTCTTGCCTTTGAGGCAAGACAACCAATGTCAGGAGTGATGGACTCTTCTTTTAAACACAGTGTGTCCTATCACACTTCAGACATTTTTCATGCAGAAGCTTTCATTTTTTGCTACTTAATGAATTGTTTGGATTCAGTCATGGCAGACATGGTGCCCCAAGCACAGCAACGCCTCTTCTGTACTGTCCTTGCTGTGCTCTCTCCATGTCCGCTACAGATCTCCCTCACTAATGTAGGCACAGCACAACTTCGACAAGAGGCAAACAAGGCTTCCTCTGCAGGAGTCAGTGGGCACAACTAGCTTTCTGCTCATTCAGCTGTTTGGATTTCTTCAGTGACATTGAGATAAGGTCACTGTTTCTTATCCATTATGTATTGCATGCTAATTTTAGCTATTGCCTTAAAAAAACCCTTCTAGCTCCTAAATTTCAGCTGCTCCTTACTAGTAATGAAGAGAAGATCAATGAAGCACTGACCTTGCCAATACTAGTCTACTGGTGCTCCTGGGGATGCCAGTCTCTTAGCTCCATGTCACCCGTGCTGCGTCTCTTGGAATTCAGATCCTCAAAACACACTATAAAGCATTTCATTGTACAGCTCACTGACCAAATGCTACTGCTGTCTAATAGAACACAATTTCCTTGACTTAGACTAGATACCAAAGCAAAATGATGAGAAATTGCATGATGTTGTAGGAATCCATTATGCATAGCCATTCCTGCAGGATATACAAAAGACTCTCCTGTCTATTTTGTAAGATGAATAAAACTGATGTTTGTTATTTATCTTCTAAGAGCAGAGTATTTTGTCATTCCGGTATATATTTCTAATATGTCAGAAGTCAGAGTGTGATTGTTATATGCACTACAGCTTTTTTACAGTTTTTTTTTCTTTTTTTTTTTAAAAAAAAAAAAAAGAAGAAAAAAAAGAAGTAAAAAGCAGTCTATTAAAGTACATAAAACAAGCACATCGAGCTATTCTACTGATTAGGGTCACTACTGATCAGAGATGTTAGGAACAGATAAAACCGGAGTGAAAAGGAAGGAGTACTATTCCATATCAGATTTGAGATCTGCAGACTGCTTTAGAAGCTTAAATCATAAAACCGGGAAACCAAAAAGTGCAACGAGCAATTCAGTGTTCTAAAGAAAGCTGGATGCAGCCTTGTTTTGTTCCTGGATGATTTCCAAGGGCTATTCTATCAGTAAAAGGCACTGTGAAGTCACATTATCACATTAGACAGTTGGTATAGCAAATAGCAGCAGCATCTAATGCTATAGACCAAGAATCACCTGTTTTAAAGACCTTTAAATTGGCCAACGCTGTCAGGACCTCACGGTTTCACCTACAGCAGCACACGTATGGCACTTAAGGAAAGCTTGTTTTTCTATTAAGACAACTGCACAAAATGTTTCCTGACACAAGGCCTGCAATGTGGTTCTAGGCAAGACATTTTCAGCACAAGGAACAGGTCATGTGCCAAAGCAATGGTGTGTCTCAACCTACAGTTACTTTTGCTGGTGGTGCAATCATGTTTTCTAGCAGTAGGATTTCTAACATAACAGCAGTCACAGAAGGCACAGAAGGGCTTCTGGCACTTCTCGTGATATTGGAACAGCTAACAGATCTTCATCAGAGAAGGAAAATGCTTCCTCAGGAAACCCTTCAGATTACGTTCATAGAAGACTGCTAACAAAAATAAAAGGAGAAATCTAGATACCCTTACATATAATGGGAACATCATATATAATGTTGAATATTATATAAAGTGTTGGTCATTCATGGCACTTTGCTATCATCACTACACTTCAAGACCAAAAGAACATTACTATTGCTTCTAGTAGCAATGTTTAGGATATCCTTCACTGCAACATAACTATAAAAGCTGTGACTCCCCGTATTAGCTGTGGAAGGGGTAGGTATTTGGTGATCACTGTCTTGCTTGAGCTTTCTCCAGTACATCTCATCTGCTGATTCAGCAAGTGAACATGGGCCCCATAAAACACACATAACACACCACGTCTTCACTATTTTGCCACACTTATGTAAAGGTTTTCTATGAGAAAACCAGCCCCCTTATTCTTTAATCAATCTTTCCTACAGAAGCTTTGCTTCCCATGAAATGCAAAATCCCATCCTCAGTGGTTACAGAACTCCAAAGGTGATGAACTGGATGGTGCACCAGTACCTAACCTTTGATACTGGTAAGAGTATGTAGGGGAGAGTTTGGAAATGTTAAACAATGCTTCATAATTATTAACTGCTTTGATTTTCATATCAGAGTTGCACTTTGCAAGACAGTGAGCAAAAATTTTTCTACATTGATACTTAATTCATTTCAAGTGAATTTTGCTGCACTCAGATTAAATTCAATTTTTAATGAAATCCCTGATTTTATTACCCAAAAACTTTTGGATGAAACTTATTAATAAAATTCTTTAAAAAATAAAAAAAAGAAAAGAATGAAAGCAAATAAAAGTAGGCCTTTGTAAAGTTTCTGTTCTAAGCGCAAATAATTTTGCCAGCTAACATCTACTAATCAATTTTGGCCAGTTTTCACCTTTGTTTCTGAAACTCACCTTCTTATGTAATGCAGTTCTGCTCTGCATGCAGACAATAACCATGGCAACGCAAAAAAAAAGAAACTAAAAGCAAATGCTCACTACAGATAGAGAAAGCTGAAATAAAGGGCTATTATTTCCAGAGAACTGTTTAGTTTAAAGGAGGCCAATATATCAATGCCTTGATTGAGTAAACATGTGAATGCACTTGGGTAGAATCGGACAAGATTCAAGATAAACACTACAGCTCTTAGATTGCTTTAGAAGAACACAATAATTAGCTGTAATCAGAACTTCACTTGTAGCACTGCTGAATGTGGCTAGCTTTAAGGATTCATTGCTGATGCTTTGCTAATGTTTTATCTATTAACGTCACCACTCCACTTACACACCTAAATGCAACAGAGAGTGTGCCCAATACACAAAGCCATGCAGCACAGAGGCTTTTGGTACTTAAACTTTCGTTTAATGTGACCGGTTCTCTTAAGACACTGCAAATCTGCTTTCTGCATTTTAGAAAGAGATTAAGTAATTTCTTGGAAGAAGAAGTACTTCTTCTAGAAACCTGAGTTTGTATCAGGATGATCTAGAAATGCAAGACAGAGACAACAAGGAACTTAAAAGGAAGTTTAAAAGAGGAACTCCTTTGTTTTCCCACTCACAATACCCACAACAGCAACAGTCAGACAATATAAGAGATCATGGCAGAAGAGACACTTGAAAAGAATGCTTCTTTTAGCGGAAACAAGATGGAAAACAGAGGTTTGGGATTTATAAACCGCTAATTGGGTTACATTTCATTTTGCAATGGGAGTTGCACCATATAGGCTAATTGACTGAGGTGATGCTTGGCAACATAATATTCATGTAACAATGCATAACTTCAAAACAATTAGAGTGACTTTATTGAGCATGGCATCAAAGCCCAGAGGTAATAAAAACAATTCAAACATATAATTAATTTTGGAGTTATACAAATTGGTACTTACAGTTATAGAAAAGTAAAACCCACAGTATAATTGCAACAGCTCTTTTCAAGGAATTGAAAAGTTATACAACAATGTACTTGTCAATTCAAACTGTTTTTTTTTTTTTCCTTTTGTTCCACAGTTAAAGAAGTAGACAAGAACCACTCTGAATGAAATCCACCAGAAGAAAAATTATGTTTATCCCAAAATGAATTTGTATTAAGGGTGACAACTGTCAAAGAGCTCTTTAGGCCACTAAGAATTTCCCCAGATAAATAACTCATGTCAGAGATGCACATACCCAAAAGCAGTCCATTATCTCCACAAATTTTGCAGGTAAGTGAATCACTCCAGTGACCGCTGTCCTTATGTATAAGAGAGGCCTGAAGCTGATGCCCTAACTGGCTCCTCCTTTCTCAGCAGACACTAACTTGCGGTCAGAAGATGCTCCACCTTAGCCATGTGAATGAGGCCAACCAACACACACACAAGTGATAAGATTGTGAAAACAAACACTTGCTAATGTCACACATCTCTGTGTAATACCAAATCTTCCCTCTGCAACCCCTCCATTTTCTTCCTGAACCACTGAGACACAATCATAAAACTTCAAAAATGGCTTACTGCGTCAAAGCAATGGTCTGTTTGGCTCATGAGTGGTGGAAGATGCTCATTATGGAGAGCAAGCAACACCCACCACTGTCTGCAGACCATTTCTCTCTGACATTTCTCCTCCTCTTCCAGCACACCCAAAAGAAACTCCAGAATTTTGTTAACCACCATGCATTTCATTTTTACCTTATCTTCTACTGTTCCCCGTGAACACCCACCCTCATATTGTGGGTTTCAAGAAGACAGATTAGATTCAATTAAATTCAATTACTAGCTTTGAGATCTTAGATCCATCTGATGCCTCTCTTTCTGTGAGGTTTGTAACAAGCCTGTCACAGACTACTTAAAGACAATCATCGAGGCCAGTAAGAGATAGCATATTGCAAAGATAACTTCAGGAATTTCTCCCCCCCACCAAAAAAAAAAAATAATCCCTTTCCAAACAAAAATTACCTTATTCTCACTTAAAAGTGCCTAGAACAAAGAATTACTAACACGAAGATTTACCAGTAGAAAGCGTGGTTGAAAGGTGAAAAAGTTACCTTCCCTCTCTTCCAGCTAAATATCATAGACACAATTCTGTCAAGCACCATCATGCTTCTCTGGGCAATCTGTGCCAGCATCTCACCACCCTCCGAGTAAAGAATTTCTTTCTTATATCTAATCTAAATCTACCCTCTTTTGCATACAGGTTTTAGAAGCTGTGGATGCCCCATCCTTGAAGTGCTCAAGGCCAGGCTGGATGGGGCTTTGAGCAACCTGATTTAGTGGGAGGTGGCCCTGCCTATGGCAGGGGTGTGGAACTAGGTGGTCTTTAAGGTTCCTTCCAACCCAAACCATTCTGTGATTCTCTGGGCAGCCTGTTCTAGTGCCCTACCAACATTAAAGATTTTTTTCCTTGTATCTAATCTTAACCTATCCTTTTTTAGTTTAAAATTGTTACCCCTCGTCATGTTACTAGACTCCCTGATAAAGAATCTTTCCTCATCTTTCTTTTAGGCCCCCTTTAAATATTGGAAGGCTGCTATAAGGTTTCGCCAGAGCCTTCTCTTCTCTAGGCTAAATAACCCCAGCTTTCTCAGTGCAATCATCCAGCCAATTACTTATCCACCAAGTGGTCCATTCATCAAATTCATGTCTCTCCAATTTGGAAACAAGGATGTCATGCAGGACAATGTCAAATGCTTTGCAAAAGTCCAGATTCTCAGCAGTATCTGTCTGCCTACCTGTAGAATGTAGTGGCAGTAGAAAAAGACAAGCTTTTGGAAGTAACCAACACTAAAGCAGACTAGACAGCATCATCCCCTTTACGGTTCACTGAAAATACACTTAAAACCACAAGAAAGATAAGGGTGAAGTTTGTTTGCAAAATCTGAAGTCCATACAGCTGCAGTGGAGCACTGAAAATAGGCAGCAGAATAAACAGAAGATTCTTCTGTTGCATCTTTATTAAGCAACTAATTCAATTGAAAAAGCATGACTTTTAAAAACAGAGCATTTCATCTTTTTGGCAGCTAACATATTTGGAAGAATAAGTTAAAACGTGTTCCCTAATGATTCAACAACCCTAAGTACCAAAATAATTGAAAACATAAGCATGAAGCACAAGCAACAAAAGAAGATTGGATGTAGACACAGTCCTCCCACTTACTAAGACAGAAGAAAACCGTTACTATAAAGTGTCTTTCAATGTTAGTGATTCCCAATTTGTCATACAGAACATATCTATATAGCCAATACCAAACCCTCCTATACACATATATATGTTTTTTTCCCTTTTTTTTTTTTTTTTTTTTTTTTCTTTCTGGGAAGTACTGAACCCCTATAATTCTGAAAAGAGCTAAGACCAAAGCATAAAGATGTCTGCCTGTTAAATCTTGGATCAGATCCTATTACAAGATACCAGGTCCTATTACAAGATACCACATCTATACATACAGCAAATTGATACTTCGATAATATCAGTAACAACCTGTGAAAAGAAAATTGCAAAGAGCAAGCTTTCAAAGTTAAGGCTGAACCTTGTCAACACATTTGGCTTTGCTCATTTTATCCCTCATGTCTGATTTATTTTCCTACAACAGCAGCTTGCAGGTGAGCAAAACCTCTACTTCTGCCATCTGCTGCTCAAGATTTCCCAGAAAAGAGAACAGAGACCAAGTTTATTTCAGGTATGTGAAACAACCATGATTTTTAAATTCAGCACAAGCATACAAAGAGCGAAACAGACTGGTAAAGAGCAGATGTTCATTCAGATCACTTGGCAGTTACAGGTGGTCATCGATATTAGGCAGCACCTTGAAGTGCGAGCAGACTCCTGGATCTAATCCCTCAGACCTGAATGGAAATGGTGGCAGCTCCAGCTCCTCTTGGGGATGAAGCAGGCGAGAGGGAATCACCCTACCAAGCAGGTAATGACTGGGGCTACAGCTGAACACCTGCTAGATTAACCACATCTTGTCCTTTCACCCTTTCTTAGCACAGCACGCTTTTCAGCCTCCTCTTCATTCTTCTTGCTTTCCTCTGCAATTGGCAACTTGTTCGCCTCTTCTGGGACCAAAATTAGACACAAATCTGTACCTTTTCACCCTAGCACCAAAAAGAACTGAACAACTACGCTTCATGTCTTGCAGATGTCCCTTTTTAATACACATGAGAATGACATTTAAAAGAATCGAAGACTGTCTCTCGTATACAGAGAGGTGCAGAACAGAAAGACCTTACTCTTTTCCTGTGGTTTGACCTCTCTCAACCTTACATGGGCGTAAGCAGATCACAACAGAAAATAATGGTAAGGCTGTCATTAGTTCTCTTCTGAAAACCAGCATTTTAATCTCTTAGTTACAAAGCTCCTCACATTGTGTAATTCCTCTTGCTGGCACGTGCCTATCTCATAACAAGATAAAGGAAATCAGTGATCCAAATTGTTCACTGATGCTGGCAATTGAGAGAATGAGCATGAATTCAGGTAGGTTAAAATTTTTCATGTCACTTCAATCAACCCAGCTTTCCACTGAGAGTTTTCCATGTACTATTGAAAAACCCTTAAGCTGCAGATTTTTTGCAAGCCAGATTCCAACTCCAGAGTACCTTCACATTTGTATATATATATATATATATATGTCCATGAAAATAAAAATATTGGAATTGTAAAGTTTAAAACCAATTGGTTTTCCTCCTGAGCCCAGGGTTTTGTACACTGTGATGTGCTCAGAACACACTGGCACAGTTATTCTCTGTTTAAGTAGTAAATCCTATCACATCCAACCCACATATTTATATTGGATACTTACAAAATAAGAGATATTAAGTAGCTAAGCCTGGTTTTAAAACTTTTTATAACACATTGTGGCATTGGAGTTCCCTTAAGTAACCTAACTACCTTGTAGCAGTTTCTGTGCTTCCAATGCAGTATTCATGAATTCACCGAGGGAGCCAATAATATTGGATTTGACTGTGGTGAGTGGTAGACTAAATAATTTATTCTTCTATATGCATTTGTCTTGCTTCACATTAAGGTTTAACTCTTTTGTATCTCTATTGTGGTTGACTATCAGTCAGGCTGTAGCTAGTGTAACACATCATGGTTTCACCACTACCAAGGACCTGTCACGCTGTGTCTCAGTTTGCCCTCCTATCCTTTACTTTAGCCCCTCTTCAGTACTTTCACATTTTATTTTAATGTTTCCAGCATGGTCTTAATCATGTCCGTATTTTCCATTGCACTCTGTGCAGGCACTTTACAAGTCAATTGCAGTATGAAATAAATGTTCTTTATAGCCAAAACTGAATTTTAATTTGTAAAACAGGCCAGTTGTGCTGATACTGGCAGGCTGGCTCTAGGGTGCTCCTGCTCCACATGCTCAGAGGAACTCAAAGGACCTGGATTTCCTTCAGAGCTTCTGAAGGTAACAGATTCAAATCTGGTTCATCACAGTATGTCACCACCTGGAAGGAGCAACAAGTAGCGCCTACATGAAGGATGATGGGCGACTCTTCCAGGGCCATTATTACTCACAGGGCCAGAATAACTTTCCAACTGACCAGAATTCACATCTGAGCCACAAATGTATCCCATGACTTTGGAGATGCCACATGCTGGAAGCCCAGTATCAAGTGCTCCCATTTTACCTTCCTGCAGTCTGAAATGATGAATCTGGCTTGCTCAGGGAAACCAAACTTCATTCCTGCTGCCCAGAGGAGGACTCCTTTCCATTACAACGGAAGGAACTTCTCCCTGCACCTAATCAAAAATCCCAAATGGTTCCAGCAGCAAAGGGCTCCATGTTCCCCCAGGATGCCAGGGCATTATTGGTAACATCCTGAGAATTACCTGTTCATATCCCCAGTGCTCCTGGCTTATATTACTCACCGAAACTCCTCCTCCACCTAAATTACCATCACTCTTGCACTGGCCCACTCAAGACAAAGTGTTCTCTTTGCTCAGTTCTGAGTCTATGGTTGACCACACATAGTTGAGCTCCCAATCTCCTTTTTGATTAAAGCTCATGGTTGTTGTTGAAGTACTTCATCACTATTTACTGTTCCCTCAGCTATACTTTATAGTTAGAAAACTATACAGTAGAAAAGTGCCAGGAGCTACAATCTTGCTTTTTAAATCACTAGGCTTTCAAATTAACATTAGAATTCCTATTTGTTCTTCAGTTTTGCAAGCCTTTTTAACATCTGGGTTTTCATGTTTTTTTTCTTCAAACAGAGTGGCTGGAAAAGGAATATTTTTTTCAAGTCAACAGAGATTCTTTCAGAATTGTTTAATGTTAATAGTTTGGGTTTTAAGAACATCATCAAGGAAGATGAAGCTTGTGGTAAAATCATGAATGTTACTACACTGAATCACAAGGCTTAGAAACCTCCACCAAATCAGTTTGTCACTTTTACAAGATATCCTGTTGTGCTACTCTAATCCAGAATGGCAGATTTTTATTTTCTCCACTGGAGGTTTAGGTCATCCAGACCTAGCTGTAAATTGGACCTCAGTATTATGAACCAGCATTTCCTAAACAACATATAATCAAGGCGGACATGATTTATTATATTTCTTATTTACCTGGCATTCTGTGGAGCCATGTATTTCTGCTAAGTTTCCTTACGTAGTGTAACATATATCCGTTGGAATGTATTTGATACAACAGTATTCTTATTTGAGTGGATATGACTAAGTGACTATAATGTCCTTCTGTGCTATGTTAGTTTATGAATACATTCCTGTCACGAAGGGGAAGAACAGGGAGAATGAACTGGGCAGCTGGAAATTTGAAACTGCGATCTGTAAAAGATCTTCATATGCTGTGAAATAATCTGCAAGGATGCTTAGCAGGTGAACAAAAATCAACTTGGTAGAAATCATGTACTAAATTTCAATGAAAATACAGAGCTCTATTAGCTTCAGAAGTGGGGACACTAATGCCTTGGACAGTTTATTAGTTATTGTACATGGTATAAAACAAAACCTACAGGTTAAAAAGTTGGTGATACCAGAATTTTTCTGTTTTGTGTAATACTGGAGTGACTGCTGTGTTAATGCCATAAGCAAGAAAAATCCACCTTTAACTATGCATGCAGCTTGACAATTAGAGTACAAATCAAATACAAGACACTTTCGAAGCATCTTTGAAATAAGTTAGATGAAAACTACAGACTGCTATCATTCACAAAATCTGCACCCCTGCTGTTGCTCAGTCTTTTGAAACTGAGAGGCTGAAAATGTAAGGCTTAGTAAAAAGAAAATTCTCTATTGTTGGAACTTTTTCAGGATATCAGCATGCATAGTATCCCTCATGGATTTATCTTCTTGTGACAGGCAGTCTGGCTTTAATTTCCCAAGTCTCTTTGTACTGTCCATTTACTATCAATCAATCTTCCCATATGAACATGTTTCTGATATACTATGAACTGAAGAGGAAAAAAATAATTAATGATCTTCTCTATTTTGGGGAAAACCAGTGGAAAACTATTTATTTTCCTGAAGATTCTATATCAGTAAATGAATATGAACAAAACAAACAAATTAGTTCTCTAGAACTATTCAAATATTTTTACAACACAATTCAGACTTAATAGTGCAGATTCTAATGTAGCTTTTGGCAATGTCTCTCTAATACTAGAGGGCTACATCATTCACCAGCTATAACTTTAGGAGGATTTCAACTGATTATAAATAATATACAAGGGTGTAATCTTCTGGAAAATCAGATTTTTATTCTCTTGAGATACTGTAATTTATAAGCAAGAACACAATTTCAGAAGAACATAAAATAATGATTGCCAATATTTCAACTACTCTTTTACAACCCTTTAATAAAATTAAGGAAATTGACAAGTATTTTATACGTATTTTTTAAATCTAAGTATTTATTGATTGTACTAGGCTCAGAAGCCCAGTTATACAGTAAAACAGTACTTCAAACTGTGAAGAGTGGTCCTTGTTGTTAAGACACAGAATTCTCTTTTAATATTTTGATTTTATCATCCATGTAATAAGTCTTGCAACTGCAGTAAGTTACTTACTGTATTTTAGCATTTCTGAATTCTGACAATTTTGGCTAGGTGAAAACTTTCACACTGCACAATCATGTCGTAAACAGCTCTTCTCTCTATAAGCAGGACAGGCTATTTTTAAATCACTGAAATTTCTGCCTTTCTCCCTCCACCCTCATCCAGATTGACTGTTTCTCTGTGTTTAACCTAGACTGCAGTAAACTATAGGATGGCTTGCTTCAAAGATTATCTGCCATTAACAAGAACAGAGAATTTAAATACTATGAAAACCACAGACACTTCTGATTCACAATTTTAAAATTCCTAGTAAGCATGTATCTGAAAGAAACCAGTCTTTTTTTGTGTATTTTTTAAAGTCAAGTAATTCATCCCTAACAAATTGATCACTTAATAGCGCATAGCACTACAGGAGTAGAAACCCATGCTCTCAAAAAGATTGCTAGCAATAAAGCAAAAGTTCAAGTGAAACAGGAAGTATCCACTCAAAAAATATCTTAACAAAGGAAAATATACAACTCTTGGCTGTTATCCTTGTAATGCTACCAAATAATTGGAAAAAAAAATGAAGTTGGCAAACCTGATGGATATGAAAACTCAAAGTAATGGAGGCAATGCTGACATCAAGACAAAATAAAATAATTAAAAGAAAGTATGTATTTGATAGCTGTGTGTGGCAATGAATGGGCACAGTGCATATCAAAGGCTGCTCAAGATTTCTGCTATATTTTCCTGTAGTCTTGATCCATATGGAAAACATGAACAATTAGTGCAAGACTAGTAGGTAATAACTAAAATAATGGTGTAGAAGGAATTTGTCCACTTTGCAGCTTCAAACAACAAAATCAATTTAAATTTTATTTTGTGCATGCGTTTTTGTTGTTGTTGTTGTTTTGACCTCATCCTGACCCACATCCATTTTTGTGTTCACTTAAAGCTTTGAAGTACTGTCACACAAGTGCTAAGGACAGGACTTTACTGACACCTAAACAGCTGCCAAAAGGCATCAGAGCCATGACAGGCATCCCATGGGAAAGCCATCAAGAAAAAGAGAAGGGACCACTTGAAAGTCATTTGTCATCTGTGTGCACAGCTCCTTTACACATATATATCAGCTGCACCAAAAGAGGGATGTATCCTGATGCTCTTAGCAAGTTCTCAGGGGAGAAGATCTCATCAGTAAAAACAGTAGGTTTGATGAAGATCACATCACTAGCCCTCAAAGGTCAGGTTCACCCCCATGGATGGAGAAAAAAAATCTGATTTGCTAAGGAAATAGCTAGAACAAATATTAGAACAGAGTACACAATTTTTATTCACTGAAATGCTCACACAAGAAAAAAAATCAACTGAACATCATCTGCCACTAATTAGCATCAATTTCACAAGTGTTTTTTTACAATAGGCTAGAGTCATTGATAGGCATTACTTAGATTCTGATCTACATGGAATGGATAAACAAACGATCACCTTGCAAAAAGCTTAAAATTAACCTTTTCAGATGTTTATAAGGAAAACAAACAAACAAACAAACAAACAAACAAACAAAAAAGAGAATGAGATAGACACTCAAACCAGGAAATCCAATGCTTTAACTTCAAGAGTTATTTTTTACTGATAGAATAGGAGGTTATATTTGGCTCAACTGTATTCCCTTTTTATCTGCCACATGCTAATAATACCAGCAAGATCAGGCTATGTTAGTGTTACTGGGAGTTGTTTCTACTCACAGAAAAGCACAGACAGATCTATTTTAGAACTAGAGAAAGTCTAAGATTAGTAAATCACTGGTTAAGTCTTCAGTTCCTAAGGACTAAAGAAGAGTGGCCTATGCTAGGTGTGTTACCTTCATACCACTGGCACATTCCCCTTAACAATGAAGGAAGCCTCAGCTGAGGGAATATTGGAAAAGCTGGCTGAATGAGATGTAAAGGGAGAACTAGAGCCACCTTGGTGATACTGATCTGTGGCACTGAACAAAACCTTCCTTGCCTACCTGCACTGGGAAAACTGCTGATGATACCTTTACTTGAAAGAGCAACCCAGAACCTTGACCTCCTGACATGTAAGCATGCTATTCCTTGTTCAGAGAAAAGTTGCTCCTTTCAGTTCTTCCACTGGGAAAAAAAATGGTACGTAAAACAAAATTTAAAAAAAAGGCACCTAGCTGTGATGAAAAGCCAAAACTAATATGATTTACAGTAAAATATTAGAATAAATTCTGCAAAACAGCTACTATTCAGTGAGTATCAGCTGTTGGTGGCTTTCTTCTACAACTACATATCACTAATGCTAGCTATCATTCATTTCAACCCTGGACAATGAATTGTTGTTCATTAACTCCATTCCTATTTTAAAGTAGACACACAAAATTAGAAACCCTTTGATTCTAAAAATCACCTCATAAACCTACCAAATACCCCCCTCATGTTTTCATTTCCTTCATGGCATGTTGTAATTCCCTCTGATTAATGCAGCTGGCATTAGGAAAACACTGGAGAGCTTCACATAACAGTGCCAAGTAGGACTGACCCCAGTTGAATGAAGCAAGACAAGGATATACTTCCCAGGATAAGTGACTGCCAGGAATCCAAGAAACAAATCAAGGGCTTTTTTGTCTATTCATTATGCATACTAATAAAGAAAGCTGTATCGTGTATAGAAGCCATGCATAGCTTCTATAGGTACATGAGGTAAGTCAGTGATAAAAGGAAGACTAGGGAAATTGTGGGCCTTCTCTAGAAGGAAATGGGAGACCTGTCTACCTGAGATATGGAGAAGACTGAGGTATTCAATGACTTTTTTGCCTCAGTCTTCACTGTCAAGAGCTCTATCCACACAGCCCAAGCCCCAGAAGGCAAAGACAGGGACTGGGAAAATGGTGAACCATCTACTGTAGTGAAAGATCAGGTCTGAGACCAGCTTAGGATCCTGACGGTGCACAAATCTATGGGACTTGATGGGATACATCTGTGAATCCCAAGGGAACTGGCAGATGTAGCTGCTAAGCCACTATCCATCATATTTGAGAAGTTGTGGCAGTCCAGTGAAGTTCCCACTGACTGGAAGAGGGGAAACAAATTCCATTTTTAAAAAGGGAAGTAAGGAAGATCCAGGGAAGTATTGGCCAGTCTGTCTCACCTCATGCAAAGATCATGGAGCAGATCCTCCTGGAAACTATGCTAAGGCACAAGGAAAATAAGTAGGTGATTGGTAACAGTGGCTTCACTTACGGCAGATCATGCTGGACAAATCTGGTGGCTTTCTTCAATGGGGTTACAGCACTGGTGGATAGGGGAGGAGCAACTGACATCATCTATCTAGACTTGTGCAAAACATTTGGCACTATCCTGCACAATACCCTTATCTCCAAATTGGAGAGACATGGATTTGATGGATGCTCGGTAAGAAAGTTGTCTGGATGGTCACACTCAAAGAGTTGCAGTCAATGGCTCAATTTCCAGGTGGAGATCAGTGACGAGTGGTGTTCCTCAGGGGTCAGTACTGTGACCAGCATTGTTTAACGTCTTTGTCTGTGACATGGACAGTGATACTGAGTGCACCCTCAGCAAGTTTCCCAATAACAACAAGCTGTAGGTGCGGCTGACACATTGGAGAGAAGGGATGCCATCCACAGGGACCTGGACAGGCTTGAGAGGTAGGCCTGTGCAAACCTCATGAAGTTCAACAAGGCCAAGCACAAGGTCCTGCATCTGGAACAGGGCAATCCTAAACACAGATACAGGCTGGGCAGAGAATGAATTGAGAGCAGCTCTGAAGAAAAGGACCTGGAAATGTTGGTTTTTGAGAAGCTTAACATAAGCAGGCAGTGTACACTTGCAGCCCAGAAAGCCAACCGTATCCTGGGTTGCACCAAAAGAAGTGTGGCCAGCAGGGTGAGGGGAGGGAGCCCATGGGGGACTCATGTTGGAGCAGTTTGCTCCTGGGGGATGGACCCCGTGGGATGGAGACGTGTGGGAGCAGTGCTTGGAGAGCTGCTGCCTGTGGGCAGGCCCCGCAGGCTCAGTTGGGGAAGGACGGCATCCTGTGGGAGGGACCCCATGGGGAGCAGGGGCAGAGAGTGACCGTGAGGGAATGGCAGAGACAAAGCCTCAGGGACTGACCGCAGCCCGTTTCCCTGTGCTGCACCGGGGGGGAGGAGATAGAAGAGGGTGTATGGGGAGAGGAGGGGGGGAGGTGAAGGTGTTTTTAATTTGCTTTTAGTTTCTCACTGCTCTAGTCAGCTAGTGATAGGCACTACATTATATTAATCTCCCTATGCTGAGTCTGTTTTGCCTCTGATGATAATTGTTGAGTGATCTCCCTGTCCTTATCTTAAGCCTTCAGCCTCTTCCATGACATTTTCTCCCTCTTTCCTCTGAGGAGGGGGAGTGAGAGAGTGGTTGTGGTGGAGCTCAGCTGTGTAGGAGGGTAAAACCACACAATCTGTTATCAGTGTATCTAAACACAGGCAAATACTTCAAAAAGCAAATTACCTGTGACTAATACAAGGCTATATCCCGCTATTCCACTGAGCTATCCACCAAACTTTCAGGAGTGAGGATGATTACATAAAAAGCCCTAAAAACTTTACTGACCATGTAGGCAGCTAATCACAGATTACCTACACAATCAATCACCTATGTACCTAATCAGCTGGCCTTTCTAGAGACAGCTGAGTTCCAGCTGGATGAGGCTGTGTTCACACAGCTTCAAACTATGTGTTTAGAAAGGCAAGGAAATTTTCCCAATGTAAACAGGAAAGTGTCTGGGTTGGATAAATCTGGCCAACGGCTACTATCCATTGGGGCATAGTTGCTATCCACAGTACTTTTCATCAGCAAAACAAAATTCCTGAAGTAAAAGTTACCAATATGTTAAATCTGAATAAAATTTTCAAAATTCAGAACTCTTATTTAGATTAGTGCTTTTTCCCTACTGGTACATCTAAGCATATTTGAATGCAAATGCAAGCATGACAAATACAGGTCTGGAGTAAACATTGCTTTATTCTTTGGAGCTGAGGGTTCACCGTGGAGACCAGGCAAACACAATCATGGAGGCTGATGTACTTCTGGGAAACGGAAGCTGACTACCTGAATAATTAGGAAAAAATTTAAAGACCACAAGATGGTACTAATTGAATTTTAAGTATGGAACATTTGCTTAGCTTTAGACTTCCCCTCTACCTCCCTCTCACCCCAATCTCAGTTAATAACGATTAAGTTAACAGGTGATTAAATCACTCCTGTATCCAGCCATTTGTATTTGCATATGCAGAAAACATGAATAACTTCTGTTCTTTGAGGAGACAAAACTCAGAAGTCCACCATCCCTCTTTAATTGGACTGTGTGAACTTGAGTGTAACAAATTTCCATGTACTTGCTGAAAGTTACAGATCTCATGCACACACTAAATTTGCAGGGAAAAAAAATAAAGTGAAGAATCCCGGTAGCTTGCTTTCACTGAGAACTGAGCTAAATCAAATTTGTTTCCACATTACCCTACTTCCTCTGACCAAATGCCAACCATTTCACCACACTATCTTACACATGTGGTTGAGCATTTAAAGTGAAGGCATTTAAACTGAAGGCTCAGGATGTGATTCCATGGTCACTTTAAACAGACATGAGTGGGAAATGCCATCAGAATGAGTGGCTCTTCACCTTCACCCCATCTCTAACTCCTCGTACCTGCTGCACTGGCATTCACAGTGGGCCACATCAGTGAAGCAATCTGTCTGAAAACTAAACTAGAAGAAATATGCATTTTTAGGTAACTGCTCCAGCTCCCTCACATGAACAGTTGTATCAGCCGAGTGGGAATCCTGCACCACTGTGAAAAATGACCCCTCCATCAGCACACTCCACTTTTTTGGCGTGAAGTGATCATAGAATTTCACCTTTTGATGAGGAGTTCTTAAAGTAGGTAAAATTTCTACTGAAAGGCCAAGAGAGCTCAGAAAAGCATTCAAGCATCTAAGTCCCATTAAAACAACATTACTTCAAGTATGCCCCCTTCCGCTTTGGTGTTTTACAAGTAACAGTGCAAATTCAGCATAATTTGGAAAGGAAACTTTCATAAAAAATGCACCCTGAAGTGTTACAGTTGCACAGCATAAAGACTACAAAACCACAGTTCTGCCCAAATACCTCAGTAAGATAACACACTGTACCAGCAGAAATAAAGTCAGTCTGGAGAAATTAAAAACAGCAGGAGAAATCTCTCTCTCTCTTTTTTTTTTTTTTTTGAAAATGCTACTATACAGAAGCAGTTATTAGAGCCTTGTTGTCTGGAAAGGCAGATACAAGATTGTATCAAATCAGGTTTTAGAAAATAAACCAGCAAAACAAAACAAGAGACCCTAAATTTCTGCTTCCACTTCCACTTCTTCCTCTTGAAGAACCATCACAATGTTGGCTCTCAGCTGTAATGTCATGAGATGCTATGACTACAGTAAGGGTGTAGACAGCACCACACAGACATACTTGATAGAAAAAGTATATTCTACCCCCATAAAATGGCTCATTATGTACACTTATTAAATATATCCTTCCACTCTGCTTGAAAGGATTGCTCCTGCAGCAGAGCCCATGCTTCAGGAACTGCTACCAGCAAAAAGGCCATCTTCACTTCCCTTATTAGCTCTCACAGTGGTGTCAAGCCTCCTGCTGCATACTTGCAATGCTATAACCATACAAATATTCATACAAAATGAAAACAGTTATAGATCGGACGTTCTAGCATGAATACAGTTTGTCCTCCAATGAAAGTAGTTCAACAGGAGTTGACCATTTGCAAGCAAATACTTTGCAAGAAAAACAACATTGCGACAACTGGTATGATTTCCAAAACAATTAAGGGATGCCTGTCCAAGAGAGACAAATCTTGTCTTCGCATGACTTTGCTGACAGAAAAAATTCATCACTAGAATCCTATCTCCCCTTGACTCAATGACAAAAATCCCATTAGTTTAATCACCCAGACATTTAACCCAAGTTACTTACAAATGCCTGAGAACACTGGGAAAAAAAGCCAGAAAGGCCAAGTGCTGTTGATGTAAACTCAGCAGGGCTGTTTTGCACATATTCCAGAACAAGTAAACATACTAAACGTTAAAAAATAAAATGAAAGAAAGCAAAAGCAAGAAGAAAGCAAATGCAAAATAAAAGCAGCTCACCTTTTGAGGGGGTGGTCCGTGGTCATCCAAGTAAGTGGAATTTCCTACAAAAAGAAGGGTGAAAATAAGTAAAACTCATCCAATGCAGCTTCAAAACTTGCCAATGCATAGAAACAGTTACCTTTATTGCATTGGTTCTGTGGTGTCAAATAATTCAAGGAAAATAAATACCCTCTGCTTTAACTTCTGCTTCAAATGAGAAAAACAGTATTAATTTGATGTGGCCACATTTATGGTAAAAGGTTAGATGCACTTCTTTTTTTTTTTTTAAGCATAAAATTAAATGGGCCAGGGCAGCTTTAATTAAACAGTCATGGCATTCAATTATTTGCATGACAAAAGTTGTCAGCTGCACCCTGGTACACTTCAAGCAAATGAATACAGTTAACCTCAAAAAGATTCTTAAATAGTAAAGTATCAAAGGCCTTCAACAGATTTTTCTCTGATGTAGTTCACAAGCATTCACTATCTTCCTTCTAACAAAGGTTTTTCCCAACCTCCAAGCTGCACCTTTGTTCCTAAGCAGTACAGATGGAATAGGATCTGTATTCTGATGTGATTATACATGTATGTGCCTTTCCAAGATGCTCTTTTAATTCAGAAGAAAATTTTCAGAAAAAAAAAAAAAAAAGGCTTCTGAAATTCTAAATTGCTCTCTTTTTAGGTAGTTACAATAGAAAAGACAGCATTTTCAGACTTTATACCTATTACTTGCACACACACACTGATAAATAAAATAATCCCTCCCACACTCATCCACATGATGTCTCCTCTCCAGCTGTCCTTCCTGAACCCTTCTGCCGAAGGATTAACTATGAGCTTTCCCAACATGTCCCAGCAGAGGATAAAACCTTGGTGCAGGCCGAGAAGTTCTCAAGCCATGCATACATATCCTCCAAGTCATCCTCATATCAAAGACAGCAAAGGTACCTCTGTACTAATCTTACATCCGTATGGACTATGAGAATAACTTTTAACAAGTGTCTACTAAATACTCAAACATGATGTTGGTGAGGTCTCTAAAAAGCATGGTCCCTTAGTGAGCATCTCTACTCTCGGGGCGTTGAAGGAGCAGCAGATGATGCCTCTGGGGGAACACGAGATAGGTGGGGGGAAAACAACTTGCTACCAAAGAGCTCCTCTCTTGTCAATCTGGCCAAAAGGATGGTGTATCACATGATTTTTGAGAGTGCCACAAACAAATAAACAAAAAAACACAAAGAACTGGGTCTAGGAGGCCAACTTTTCTGCAGCCAACAGCCACCTTCTATACGATTTAACTGTTCAAGTGCTTCCATGACTCTGATGCAGAAAAACTCAACTTTCTACATATTTGACACAAATATCCACCCTCTGAATGACACAGCTGATTATTTTAATGCCATGGATAATTTCAATCATCCCCTATATCCATGGATGAAAAATTTCTGCTATCCTTTCCTCTGATATGGTTCTAACCGCCAGGATAGTCTTCCCGCACACAGACTGCTAACGGAGTCTCCTGTATGACCTTCTGGTAAAAGAGCCACCCGTACACACAGAGATGGTCTTGAAAATAAGCTTTTCAGAAAAATGTGGAGTTATACATTGGAGTGGTGCAAAGAAAGCCCTGTTAGTGCTTCTCCTCCTGCACTTACTCAGAAGTTAATTTTCCTGTAGGATCAGGCTTCATAGCAACTTTCACCTCTTTGTCATTAATCAAGCTGAAATACTGCCACTTCGTCTTTAGCAAACACCCATCATAGCTCATTTTGCTGAGGAGAAGGATTTGAAATTGTCTTCTATTGAGAAACAGATAATTACAGCCATTGTTTATATGATATCTTAGACTGCAGTGTCAAGAGAATCTGAAATATATTACAAGAAACATTGTTGAGGTATCCTTTAAAATTAAGGAGCCAATAACTTAAGCAATTTCACTTTCCTGTATCACTAACCTATGTTCTTGGTATGCATACTACATTTTCCTTTCTGCGTCAGTTTTTAATTATTACAATTAAATCCAAATCTTCCTGGCATCGAACATGGATCCTGCAGACTTGATTTCCGTTCTTATTTATTTATTTTATTATTTATTTATTTATTTTAAGCACAGTCTAGTTACTGCTGTATCCACTTTTCCACTTTAAGACAATAGTAAGTTTTGGTCCATTTTATAAAGCTCTTTTTCATGGCAATTTCTTACTCAAATCCAGAAGTAACAACTGGCTATATAAAATAATCACAAGACTGACACAAGTGGTCAAGCAAATTCAGAGTACTGATTTGAAATCCAGTCAGAATACCTTACAAATCAAGAGAAGGGGATGGAAAGCTACAGAAATTCACCACTCCCTTACACTGCCCCAAATGCCATGTGCTGAATTAGTTTCCTTCTCCTGCCAGTTCTTCTGCTTGGGCTCCTCAGGCATATAAAATGGAGCTGATTTCAGCATCCACAGTGTGCCAGACCAATTCAATAGTCTGAATTCTTTTAGGTTCATGTTTAAAATGAGTATTTGTTTTCAGTAATAAAAGTGAAACCTTTTGCTGTATGATTCATACCATACCCTTAGTAAAAACACTAAAATAATTCAACAAACCCAGCTGTGATGGCGTGGACTGAGCAGGCTCTGTGGTCTGTCTGCCAGCTCCTTAACCCTGTGAAGCCCTTCATGTGCTCTCATTGAGCATCTTATCATGGAAGATATCGTTCCCTTTGGCCACCACAAGTAGGGCAACACTACTTGAGCCTTAACATGTGCAGAAATACCCTGAAAAATACACACCAAGCTCAGAATATTTTTGCAGAATACCTGCAGAAAACAGTAATTTCTAATACAAGAAGAGGCAATGCATGTTACACATGGCTCCTAGGTTAGGTACCTACAAATTGTATGAACTTTTAGTGCCACTTCTCAGAAAATACATATCAGACTATGTTAATTAAAAATACAAACAAAAAAAAAAAAGGAAAGAAAGAAAAATCAGCATGATAGGTATGGCAACAGTGAAGAAACATCAAGGTAAAGCCAATCTATGAACTATTTTCTACTAAGAGATGACACAGAAGTACAAAAAATGGAAGTTGCACAGTAAAAATCAGGAACTTAGGAATGACTACCATAAACGCTGAAACCACTGTTCATCAGGCTGAAGTGTTTATTGTAACTACATCAACACAACCAGCTAATCTCAGATGGAGAATATGATTATGCAGCTTTTATATGCTCTGGCAGACAACAACTAGAACATTATACAAATATGCTTTTGACATTACTAAGTGTCACAAGAAGAGAAAATGTTTTCTGTGGTGCTGCTTTCTGTGTGAAGTGATAGAAGTCAACAGTTTTTCGTTAAGAATCTACTCCGTTCTCCTGAAACAACCTATTTCATTAAATTATTAATAGGATTTTTCTGAAACCCTTTAATAAACCTTTAATAAAGCTTTTGTTCTTGTCTGTCATCCAACGAGACACTTAAAGATTTTTTTTTTATGGAACAGAGTGTTTAGTCTTTAAAAAAATTAAATAAATCTGCCTTATAACTTTTTCTGCCTTCTTTTAATAGCACGATAGTCAATCATTAGAAACAACAAAGCAGACAGAATAATCAATGGTCAAAACAGTGGTATTATGCATTCCACAAACACACTCAGCAGCACACTTGCACTGACTGAACACAGTCTTTTCCAGTGTCTCAGGAAAAAAAAAAGAGTCCAGCTTTATTGCAGAACATGGTGAATATATGGAAGCAGTCCAGTTTTCTCCATAATTTATTATCTTTGAGGTTAAGTGAATCAGATGTATGCAAAATCTTTGGGGAAACCTTGTGGTTATGTTCCTTTTTTCTTGGAATCACTGAAGTGTGGGGGTTTTTGCTTGAAGCAAGCCAAGTTTAAACAGAGAAAGATGGTCAGTCTCCAGGATTAAGGACAAACATGACTGTGTGCAGTTCATAACCACAGAAGACAAGATTAATTGCAATCCTGGAAAAACATCTTAAAAAAAAAAAAAAAAAGAAAAAAGACTGGAGAGTATGGAAAGAGGTGGTAAATGGGCTTATGTATGAACTGAAGATCCTTTGATAGTAACTGAACCACAATCACTGCATTTGAACAATTTAGATATCATATGGAAAGAAATGGTCAGAGATGAAGGGAGAAAGCCAACATGGAAAATATGGCATTTTTACTATTTTCCTGCAGCAGGTTTTTCCCTTGGTGGGGATCACAAGAAGTGGTCTAAGGGAACTGGGATGCAGTTACTGCCAAATTTATCATGTCTTCTGAAAACACCACTTTGTTCTCTTTACTTGGTCACTGTCTCAAATTTCTACTAGCCAATGTAATCTTTCTTGGCATACCGTCTACAAAATAAATGAAAGTGCCAATGACTACTCAGAAGAGGATTAGTTCTGCTCTGCTTTCAGCCAAAAGTTATTTAAACAAGAATCTGAAAAGCCACTCACAATCAAGATCAGTTCATGGCTCCCCAGTGCCAATCGTCAGTTTGTACCACACATTTTCCTCACTTTCTCTTTTCTTTCCACCATGAAAAATTTCCCAGGACGGGAAAGACTGCGGAGGCTCCACCAGTAGGAGCGTTAATTTGAACAGGATGCCCGTGGCCGGCAGCAGGTACCAAGACCAGCCGGGACTGCCAGAAACAACAGACTGAAGGTGCTGGGGTTGTTCTCAGCCTTCTGCGTTTTATAGGTCTTTTTTTTTTTTTTTTTTTTTCCAAGGGAGCAGTGGACATCCTCAGAAATGTTGTGGATTTTTATACATCTGAAATAATACCATGTTCTTAGTCATCATTTCCTGGAGCCCTTTATGGATCAAAGGCAGGAAGGGGGATATGGACTACAACTTGAAAATCAGCAGCTTAGCAGTCTGATGTTGCCCAGCTCAAATCTAATATAGAAGGGAAACCCTCTGATTGCTGAGGTCAGCAGAGCTGTGCCATTCTCAACAGAGGGATTTTTTTTACAGGTGTACAGAAAAGATTAACATAGTAAAACCCTAGTGTCCAGTCTGCACTGCAAAACACTGTGATTCAATACA